GAGCAAGTTTCATGTTGAAAATATTTCCATTTGAAGTACTTAAGTTAGTGAAATAGACCTATAATTTTATGACCTATAATCTTACTTTCCCAAAATACCCATGACTTGTAACCCTCGTAACTTGAGTTCTACAAATCATATGAAAGACTTCTAGTACATTTTGGAAAGCTAAGACCAAGATCTACAACTTTCATGTTTTCCAAAAGTTGAGGAGAAACACCTTTCTAGGTAAAAAATGGCATGGAAGTTGGTTGACTTTTGTTGACCAAAATCACATTCATCTGATGACCTGTAACTTGTCTGGATCATAACTTGAGTTATATAAATCCAATCAAGGACTTATAGTACTCAAAAGAAATCTAAGAACATGATCTACAAGTTCCATGTTGGCCAAAAGTTGAGATGAGACTTGTATCTTGAGGTAGGTGGTCTTGAAGTCATGCACTAAATAGGGGATTTTACCTTGAGAACCCTAATTTAGTAACTTCTCACACTCTTGATGCTTAATGAATTGATCTTGAAATGATATATTAGACCTCTCAACACAACATCCCATGACCATAGAGACTTGGAATTGATTTGTAACCTCCTTCAATTTCACAGTTAACTGAGTGTTTACTAGATGAGAACCCTAGATGCGACACTCTTGCCTGGGGCTTGTTCCACTTCACACACCAACTTGAATAAGCTCCAAATGGCTTTCAAGGTACTCAATAAGCTCTCTAAACATCTCACACCCATAATCATGTATTCACAATCCCCTAATGCTCTTCAGTTGGCCTCCAAGTTAGGAGCTGGCCCACACACATCCATCTATCCTTTCACAAGACATTGACCACTTCAAGATGTCCTGATGACCATTCAAGCTTGAGCAACACCCCTTGCTTAGGCTCAATATCCTGAGAAGACCTCTCTTGCTATGCACAACCTCTTGATCCCCTGTAAAATGAAATATTATGTGCAATGCAAATGCTAGAACAAAATGAAATGAAGCATAAACCAAGTTAAGAAAGGTTGAGCAAATTTTAGGGTGCAACAACACTGTCTGAGTTCGGGAGTCGGTTACGCAACATGAAGGTGTTAGCATCCCTCGAGTTCATTGTACTCAACGGGATCCACTCTTGTTGTTCTAATCAAAGGGTGTGTATATCTAAAGCTTAAATTACTAAAGGAATGCATGAATGAAATAAAAGGGAAAAAAGGTTTTATTATTGAGTTCGTCCGAGTTTTGCAACCCAACACCTAACTACGTAGTTCTTATAGAGAAAGGTTGCTTTGTTTGGTGTGTTTTATGGACGATGTTAACGTTCCCATTCTAGCAGTTAGGTGTTGTCGCTCGTTGCATGGAGACTCATGTATTACCTGTATCACAGTAGAATGAAGATAACATGTCCTTTTTGAAAAGGTTAAAGAGAAAATCACAAAGGAAAATGATTTGAAATTGTTGACGTGTTTTGTTAGGAAGTGAATCAAATGATTTGAGATAGGTATTATTATACTAAAGTTTATGAGAGCGAATACTTCGTACAAATGAGCCAAGTGTTTCACGTAAAAAATACTCTAAGAAGAGGTAAGGAAAACTCCTGCTCATCTTTTTCCATGTACCTAAGATTCATGATGTATTATACGTATTGTATTTATTAAGTATTTTTTGTGTTCTTTCAATAGGGCAAAAGAGAAATAAAATGACATAACAAAATATGCATGAGTTAGATGAATGATGATGAACATAAGATAGTGAGTCATGATATAGTTAATATAAGAACTGATATCATAAGATCAAACAAATATAGCCTAGTCTTCAAACAAAAGGATCCAAGTCACAAGTCCACAAAGTTAAAAATCAAATTGATTAAAGGAACTAATTAATAGAAAGAAAAAACCTAAGTGATCAAAAATTAAAAAAAATAAATAATTAAATTTTAAACATGAATCAAAATTGAAAATAAGAAAATATTCTTTTAGATTTTATTTAATTGAAAGCAAGTGAACTAATTATTCTAAATAATTACTATTAATTAAAACCAATATAATTAGAAAAATATTTCAAATGCTAATTAGGAAAAGATTTTTAAATTAAAAAAAAAATCAAATCAAATAAAATTAAAATTAAAATAAGTAGAGAGAAAAAAGAGTAAAAATAAAATAATAAGAAAAAGGGTGCATACGCAGGGCATGTTGGTGTAGACAACAATCTGGTGGGCTTAACGAGAGAGAGTCCAAAATATAGGACTAAAGCCAGGGGTGTGTTCGTGTGATTAGTGGTACAAAAAGAAAACCATATTGGGCTCAAAGGCTCAAGAATGAAACCAGCAAGGGTTGAAAAAGAAACAAACAACTAAGACCAACTCCAATGGGAGTTCTTAAAGTGAGTTTGCCAACATGGCACTCATATTTGTTGTTTTCAAGATGGAAAAGTTCTTAAATATGCAACGGTTCTTATATTAAAATATTAATTTTATAATATAAAAACTATAATTTGATATAAAATTTTATTTATTATTTTAATTATCATTTTAATTAAAATTTAAATATTTAAATTATAATTTTAAATAAAATAAATTTAATATAAATAATATTTTTTAAGTAAAGTGGTGGGACCCAATATAAATTCTTTAGAGTTACACCATTGGAGTGAAAATTGAATGAGTTGTTTTAAAAGAGTGAGTCCCATAAAAAATTTAAAAATGGGTTGCACCTTTGGAGACGAAAGAAAAAAAAAACATCACGTGCATAACTTCCAACCTCACGACCGCGCTCTCTTCTCTTTTTCTCTCGTGTACGCTTATAACACAGAGGTTTGAAGAAACCTATCTCATATTTCATTCTCAAATTATAGCTAAAAATCACAATAGGAATCAAATCGAGATTTAATTTCTCCAAATCATTCAAGACAACCCAAAAAGAAAATAAGCCATTGAATCAGAGAATGAAAAGGAAGAAAAGGGTACCAACAAGCCAGATCCAAATAGAGCCACGGCAACAGAAGTGTGGAGGTTGGATCTGGTGACGGTGGAATTCATTGAATGAACAACGGTTTGGCTGTTGTTGTTGATGTTCCACCGTCGGAAAAGACCGTTGGAGGAGAGCGATTAGTTTTTTGGTTTAGAGCTTTTTCTTCCTCCTTCTTTTTCGTAAAATCTTCGTGTCTGGATTATCACGTGTTTTTGCTGTTAAATGGAGAGATCAAAATGTTGAGGGTGAGTTGATCAAAATGTATGATGGTGAACTTACGAATTTTTTGTTATGTTTTGGAACTTATTTTCTTTATATATGGTGAACTTTATGATATTAATAGACATCTGTATTTAATTTTGCATATATAAGTATTTTTTTTACTGGTAGTAGGATCTTATCCGTACTACTATTCTTGAGTTACGATTTTTCAATCCTCTATTGTTTCTTCATAAAGTCTCGACTTTGTAAACACTAATTGGCATATCAGTAGGGCTGACAATGAACCAAACCAACTCGAAGATAGTTCGGAATTCGACTCGACAATTAAATCGTTGAACTAGGTTCATGAACCAAATGAGTTGAGTATGAGCGAAAAATTAAGTTCGTTAACTAAATGAGCTGAACTTGAACTATACATAGTTCGACTCGTTAGGTTCATGAGTCAACTCGATTACATATGAAAAGAATTATACTGTCTTTAAGATTAAGTTTAAATATTTACTTCAAATCTTAGACAAATTTAATCTTCAATTTATTAGTTTTTGAATTAGACTCTCAAATGTATCTCTTGAAAGTTGTGTAGGTTTTGAATTAGTAGATTTCGAAGATAAAGTTAAATTTCAATATGATAACTTTTATTTTATTTTAATATTTTATTTTAAAAATATATATTTATTTAAAATGTCAAATATACTAAAAAATATATATTTTTTAAAAAATAGTTTTTAAGTTCGTGAACCATGTGAGCTGAACCTAATGAGATGAACCTAACGAGTCGAACCGAACTGTTCGTGAACTTATAACGAGTCGAGTTTGAGCTTAAAAAAAAGTTCGTGTCGAACTCGAACTCGAACTCGAATTCGAACAATTCTTAACGAGTCGAGCCGAGCTGAGGTGAGTTCGACTCGACTCATTTCCAGCCCTACATATCAGTAAGTATTCTTGTAACATATATAAAAAAAAATTATATCAGATACAATACATTTTGAATATTATTTAGCATTTCATAGTCACATCCAGGGTGCTCAAATAAATTGATTATTTAAATAATTTATATCCATATTCAAATTCGGTTATTAAAAATAGATTTATTATTAGTATGGTTTTAACCAAATCTACATTTTAAATATATTTTTAAAATGGTTTTAACTAAATTCATAATTTGGACATCCATATCCAAAATATTTTTAGTATGGTTAAATAAAATATTTTCTTTTAAAAATAAAATTAATTTTTTTTGAAAAAAAATATTATTTTAATTTTTTTCAGTAAATAATTTTTTTAAAAAAATTTTAAAATAACTATTGTTTTTTTTAACATCAATATTTTTTTAAAAAATAATTATAAGGTTTAATTTAATTTTTAAAAAATATTAACACAACTTTAGTTATTGAAAAAAATGGGTCTTTTTACAGATTGATGAAAAAAATATAGAAGAGTGAAAATAAATTGAAAAAGAAAAAAATATTAAAATTGAAAAAAATCGCTCCTACACAAAACATTTTATTTTCAGAAATACATTTTTAACTTAAAAAACAGACTTTTGTATAAACCAAATTTAATGCTCTCTAGGAACTGAAGCATTGAGCAGTTTCATACTCAATATATGTGTGCAGTACTAATCCCGTGTTTACTCTTGATAAATATTTCAGTATATCTCATGCATTATCTCAAATATACGAGGCACTTTGGATCATATAAGATTAAAAGAAACAAGCTCAAAGTTTCATACTTTATCCAAATACATAATCCAAAAAAAAAAAAAACAAGTCCAACATTAGACATGAAATTCATAAATCAGAAATGAAATAATCGTCGTCAGACTAACTCTTGTTGATCTTTTTCATAGCTGATTCAAAGATGCTCTCGAGCTCCCTGAGAACATCCACAAACACCGACGTTTCTTGGTCTTTGTCATCAATCAATTCTTCTCCCTTTATCATTGCGGAATTGATCTTCACTTTCTCTACAGCAGTTAGCTTGGAAGTTACACTATTATCCTTCATTACTTTCTTCATGTCATAAAGATAGTCATCCAAAGCACGCATTGCTTTAGCTTTCTTCACATGCTTCATATCTTCAGACTTGAAGTGCTCAGCTTCCTTTTTCATTCTCTCTATTTCTTCGCTAGACAGTCTTCCATTTTCATTAGTTATTGTAATATCATTTTTATTACCACTTGTTTCTTCCTCTGCAGACACGTTTAAAATTCCATCAGCATCTATAGAAAAGCATACCTGGATAGGAAGTCTACGAGGTGCAGGACGGACTGAGAGATCAAACAAACCAAGTAAGTTGTTCTCACTAGCAACCATTCTCTCACCTTCATATACCATAATACGGACCGAAGACTGGTTATCTTCAACTGTACAATATTCTCTTTTCTTCTTAACCGGAATTGAGGTGTTTTTGGGAATCACCACACTCATGACATCTCCTATAGTTGACTTACCAAGTGACAAAGGAGTAACATCTTGCAGCACCAAGTTCGGAACATTTTTAATACCTTTACAGAGTAAAGCAGCCTGAACCGCTGCTCCATAAGCAACAGCCTCGTCCGGGTTGATGCTACTGTACAGATCCTTACCCTTAAAAAAGTCCTTCAATAGCTGCTGCACTTTGGGAATCCTCGAAGATCCACCAACAAGTACAACATCATCCACATTACCTTTGTCAATCTTAGCATCAGTAAGACAACTCTTTACAATCTCCAAACACTTTTCAAACAGATCCATGTTGAGTTGTTCAAATTTCGCCCTAGTGACTATAGAATGGAAATCAACTCCCTTATACAAAGCATCTATGTCAATTGCAGCCTCAGTATCAAAGGACAAAGTCCTTTTAGCCCTCTCACAAGCAGTCCGCAACCTCCTAAGCGCTCTCGGGTTTCCACTAATGTCCCCTTTAATTTTCCTCTTAAACTCCTCCACTAAGTGGTTAACCATTCTATTATCAAAATCCTCTCCACCAAGGTGCGTATCTCCGGCAGTGGCTTTCACATCAAAGCTATCATCTTCAAGTGTGAGGATAGACACGTCAAAAGTGCCACCACCAAGATCAAAGATGAACACATTTCGTTTTCCAACATTATTTGCTCTCTTTTGAAGGCCATATGCAAGCGCAGCCGCAGTAGGTTCATTGATTATCCGCATTACATTGATTCCAGCAATCGCACCAGCATCTTTTGTTGCTTTCCGCTGAGAATCATTGAAATAAGCAGGCACGGTAACAACTGCATTCTTGACAGGTGACTCCAAAAATTTCTCTGCAATGTCACGCATATTCATAAGAATCATAGATGAGATTTCCTCAGCACAAAGACGTTTTTCTTCACCCTTATACTGAACAATGATCTCAGGGTTGTCATCATTTCCAGCAACAACCTTAAATGGCCACAGTTGTATGTCATTCTGAATAACCGAGTCACTAAATTTCCTTCCAATCAATCTCTTTGCATCTGCAGCAATAAGAGTTTGTTTTGTTCACAAGAAAGCTAAGCAAAAAATAGTTTATATACAATGGAGGAATATAAAAAGGTGAATTACCAAAAACAGTGTTGGTTGGGTTTGAAGCAGCCTGATTTTTTGCAGCTTCACCAATCAACCTTTGCTCATTAGTAAAAGCAACAGAAGAAGGAGTGGTTCGGTTTCCTTGATCATTGTGTATGATCTCAGCTCTATTATTTTGATCCTGCCATACAGCAACACAGGAATAGGTTGTGCCAAGATCAATTCCAATAGCAGGTCCCTTGTATTTTTTAGCCATTCTCTTTCAAGATATTGAATACTGTTTTCAAATTCACACTAGAAGATAAAGATGTAAACAAATTTTAAAAGCCAAAGTAGTTATATAAAGATGTGTATTAATATACATCTGGTTGGTTTTAATATACGTGGAACCTACTATTTTTATTGTTCCAATAAAAAGTGTCTCATAGAATACTCCCATTTTTGTTTTCCCCATTAATACTTCAAATGGGAATTGGGAGAAAAAATACAACTGTTCAGCTTCTAATAGGTAGTGAAAAAATAGAACTGTTCAGCTTCTAATAGGTAGTGCATGCACTTGATGTGCTTTAAGTTTCTTTCTTGGTGGAAACAAGTGAAGATTTTACTACAAGTAAATTTGTTACCAACAAGGTTTTCTATCAAGTTCTATTACAGTGTTACTACCTTGACATAGGTCAGAATAAAATGCTATCAGCAACTAGTGATACTATTTTTATCATGTTCTTAATCTAACAGTTGAGAAATTATAAAAAATAATTAATTAAAAAAATCATTTGAAAAGAGAGAGAAATGGGTAAGTCAATTGTACTCTATTACTTTTGGAATTTCTTCAACATTTTTATGGTGAAATTTTTTAGAGTTTCTTCACCCTTCACCATCTATAATCTAACAACTCTTAAACAAAATAGATTATTAAAACTTGTTTTTCTTTTGTTATTATGTAAAATTGTTACGATTGTCTATGATTACCAAAATTTGTCGCATTTACATGTGATTTCAAAAATTGGTTAGAAATTGAGATATGCAAAAATTTAAGAAATAAATAAAAAGAGATTGAATAGAATACAAGAATATATTATGTTTTGTTGAAAAAAAACTTTTTTAAAAGTTAAAAACTTTCTTATATAATATTAGCGTTCAGATGGATTGTCCTAGTGTCCTACCGTTTTTTTAGAATATACAGCATAAAAAAATAAATAATCTCTTTCTCTCAAAAAAAAAATTACACCTATTAGTTACCTATAAATATCAAATAACGATTTATATTTAAAACAGAAATAAATATGTATGATTTGAACTCAATTAACTATTCTATTATGTCATCATTTTCCCGTGAACCACATGCCTCCCACTTTTTGGAATAATTTTTTTATTTCAAAAAGAATTTGTGTTAATTACCTTAAACTATAAATCAATCATATGCAAAAAAATAAGCTATATTATTATGTAGAAAAAACAAAAGTAATAGTAATGCAAGAATCGAAGAACTTAAACATACATATGCAGTATGTATTATGCAATTACACGGTTGTTGTTTTTAAGGATTACCCTTCAATTCCTTCCAAACCTATATGCTTTTAACAGGTTTGGGCACAAAAAAGGAAAAGGAAGGGGTGGAAAAGGAAGGGGTAGGAATGACAAAGAAAACATACTTTAACAGTCAATAAAATGGAGATGGCGTGGGCAAAGTCGGGATATACAGCTTTGTCAAAAAGGCAGAAGAGATACCATTACTGCAAAGGCGGTTGAGTGGAGAAGGTATCACTTCATTGAAATTCATACCATTATTAATAATATGTTTTAACTTTCTCTAGACATGAAAAACATATCCCAATGAATAAAAGTGAACTTTTGTTTCTTATTGACCAGAAGATCTGGTAAACTCACAAAAAAACATTATTCCTGCAAACAATTTATAACTTCAAATACAACAAACTCAAATTAATTGAATAGTAAGCATTAGAATATATATTTGAAAGTGGATTTTCATTATATTTTTCCTTAAAAATAATGAAATGAAATATTAACCAAAACCTTGTCGGAGGACTTATAGATGGGATTTGATACATCTGACCAACTCCATTGATAATTATCCGTTCCTTCTCAACAAAGGTTCCATACTTAACTAGAGAAACATATACTAGACTCCTAGAAACTTGGTATTAGTTTGAACAATTTAGAATGAAGGGACACGCATAACAATCTAATACTACAAATCAAAGATAAAATGAGCATCTAATATTTGTTGAAAGGTTAAACTTGATTTGGGCCTAAACATATTTGGATTTTTGGGTTTAGTTATTTTGTACTTAGATAATTTTAATTAATTTTTTAGAAAACTCTTGTAATGTTTGGAGTGTCTAGATATTTCTTAGGGTTGTAATATTCTTTAGAATGCTCTTGAAATTTCCAGAGTTGAGAACTCTCTAGAATTAGTGTGTATAGAGTTTTCCTTAAAGTACTATAAATAGAGATGTAATTCTACACTTTTGCATCAAGAAAAATACAAAGTTCTCTCTTCCATAAATAATTCTTCTACCTATCAAATTTCTCTTTAAGCCTCTAATATTCCCACACACTTTTCCTAAACACAAAAGGTCTTATTTCCATCAAAGTGGCATCAAAGTTTGAAGGTCATCAAAAGATGGTGAATGGAGGTTTCCCTTTTCAAATGCTGATACTCACAAAGAACAACTATGACAATTGGAGTGTCAAGATGAAGGCGCTACTAGGAGCTCAAGATGTGTGGGATATTGTTGAGAAAGGCTTCAAGGAGCAAGATGAAGTCTCTTTAAGCCAATGTGTAAATGAGACATTAAAGGAGTCAAGAAAGAGAGATAAGAAAGCTCTCTTCCTCATTCATCAATCGGTGGATGAAGGTACATTTGAGAAGATCTACAATGCAACGACGACCAAAGATGCATGGGACAAACTTCAAACTTGCAATAAAGGAGTGGATCAAGTGAAAAAGATTCGTCTTCAAACTCTTAGAGGTGAGTTTGAACGTTTATTTATGGAAAAGTCTGAGTCAATTTCTAATTATTTTTCTCGAGTATTGCCCGTAGTCAATCAACTTAAAAGAAATGGTGAAGATGTTGATGAGGTGAAAGTCATGGAGAAAATACTTCGCACTTTAAATCCAAGTTTTGACTTCATTGTTACCAACATTGAAGAAAACAAGGATTTAAACACCATGACTATTAAGCAACTTATGGGTTCCTTACAAGCATACGAAGAAAAACAAAAGAGAAAAATTAAACAAAAGGAGACTATGGAACAACTACTACAACTCAATGCAAAGGAAGAAAACTATGTGAGTTACAAGAGTCAAAGAGGACGAGGTCGTGGCCAGGACCGTGGACGAGGGTATAAAGGAGAAAGAAGAGGAAGTTACAACAACTACTCCAACAACTTCAACAATGGAGAAAGAAGTTGGAATCCACAAGCAACAAGAGGTCGTGGAAATGGAAATTCATGGTCAAGGTGCAACAAGTTACAAATCAAGTGCTTCAATTGCAAAAAAATCGGTCATTATGCATCTGAGTGTAGATTCTCAAAGAAGGTTGTGGAGAAAGCTAACTTTGTAGAAGAAAAAGGTAGAGAAGAAGAAACTTTGCTGATCGCGTGCCAAAACCAATTTGAAGAGAAAAGAAACAAGTGGTACCTCGACACCGGCACAAGCAACCACATGTGCGGCGATCGAAGCATGTTCATAGAGATCAATGAAGCGACAACTGGAAATGTCTCATTTGGAGATGACTCAAAGATACCGGTCAAAGGCAAAGGTAAAATTCGCATACGCTTAAAGAATGGGAGTCATCAATTCATATCCAACGTCTACTATGTTCCTAACATGAAAAATAATATTTTGAGCTTGGGACAATTATTGGAGAAAGGATATGACATCCACTTGAAAGAACTTAGTCTTTTCTTAAGAGATCGTGGGCATAAATTGATCGCTAAGGTGCCTATGTCAAAGAATAGAATGTTCCTCTTGAACATTCAAAATGATATGGCAAAGTGTCTTAAGGCCTGCTATACCGACTCTTCGTGGCTATGGCATCTATGATTTCGACACCTTAACTTCGGTAGTCTAGAATGTTTGTCAAAGAAAGAGATGGTGAGAGGCTTGCCTAGTAAAAAGCACCCAGACCAACTATTTGAAGGATGTCTAATTGGGAAGCAATTTCGAAAAAGCTTTCCAAAGGAATCAACATCAAGAGCGACAAAACCACTAGAGCTCATACACACTGATGTCTGTGGACCAATCAATCCAAACTCTTTTGGTAAGAATAAATATTTCTCCTATTTATTGATGATTATTCTAGAAAAACGTGGGTTTATTTTTTGAAGGAGAAGTCATAAGTGTTTGAAAATTTTAAGAAGTTCAAAGCTCTTATGGAGAAAGAAAGTGGTCTTTCTATTAAGGCCATGAGATCTGACCGAGGAGGAGAGTTTACTTCAAATGAGTTCAACAAATATTGTGAAGACCATGGAATCCGCCGCTCGCTAATAGTGCCAAGATCTCCACAACAAAATGGAGTAATGGAGAGAAAGAACCAGACCATACTTAATATGGTGCGAAGCATGCTTAAGAGTAAGAAGATGCCGAAAGAGTTTTGGGCCAAAGCAGTGGCATGTGCGGTTTACCTGACAAATCGTTCCCCAACAAGAAGTGTGAATGAGAAGACACCACAAGAAGCATGGAGTGGAAGGAAGCTAGGGATCTCTCACCTCAAGGTGTTTGGAAGCATTGCATATACCCATGTTCTAGATGAAAGGAGAACAAAGCTCGATGATAAAAGTGAGAAGTATGTATTCGTGGGTTACGACTCAAGCTCCAAGGGGTACAAGCTCTATAATCCAAATAGTGGAAAGATTGTCATAAGTCGTGACGTTGAGTTTGAAGAAGAAGATTGTTGGGATTGGAGTGTTCAAGAAGACAGGTATGATTTTCTTTCTTATTTTGAATAAGAAGATGATGAAATGGAACAACCAATGATAGATGAACATATTACACCACCTGTCTCACCGACACCAAGGTTGGATGAAGCAAGCTCAAGTGAGAGGACACCACGATTAAGGAGCATTGAAGAGCTTTATGAGGTAACCGAAAACCAAAATGACATTAACCTCTTTTGTCTTTTTGGTGATTGTGAGTCTCTAAGCTATCAAGAAGCTATTGAAAACGTAAAGTGGAGAGATGCCATAGATGAAGAAATAAAGTCAATCACGAAGAATGATACGTGGGAACTT